AGTTTCCCAAAATGAGGAAACATCCTGGGTGAGATTTTAGTGTTATGTGGTGTTTTTGTGTTTAATTGCACCACATTTTGGGATCCCTGTAAGTAAAAGCTGCCAAAAATCTTAGAAAAAGTTTTGGGGGCTCCAGAAGAGAGAATTAGAAGAACTTCCTAATTAATGGAGGGGGAATAGAAGAAACTCACCTGCAGGTTGCTGGATGGGAGTTGCTAAAAGGAGAAAAAGATGCAATCAGAACTGTGAATAGGTGGAGCACTTAGGGGGTCCCACTCCCCATCGATATATTGCATGACATCCCCTTCTAGCCCCTCGAAGCACAAATGTTCCAAAACCAATTTCTCAGGGGGACAATCAGTCTTGGGATTTGGGGGCCAAGGGGATGGTCTTTGGCATCGACTCACCAAGCTTGATGAGGTGCCTTCCCTGGAGGATCCCCTCCCCATATCTTTATATCCAGCCCCCCCAGGACTCACCTTTCTTGTTCTTCAGGTAGAGGGAGAGCCCCACGGCCAGGAAGACCACCCCCAGCACGGCCCCCACGGCCCCCGTCCAGAGCTTGCTCTTGGCAGCGTTGGAGGAACGTGGCTCTGTGGAAGGAGAAGGAGCCTCGCGTGAGCAGGAGGATCAGGGCCAGCTTCCTCTGGGGGGGCCCCTTCGTCTGCTCCCGGCCTTCCTGCTCTTGGCCTTCCTGCTCTTGCTCACGCGCCGTTAATGGTGTCCCCCGAAGGCATCCAGCTGCCCGTGAATCCGCCACCTATTCCCCGTGCGCTGCGCTTGTACGAAGGCGGCCCTGAGGAAGATCTGCGTTTTGGTTCCCCTCTCCAGCAGGTAACGTCGAAGGGCTTCGGAGGGGGACAGTAATTTGGTGATGTCCGACCTGCTCCTCACTCTCGCGGCCTCTTGCCGTGTCTCCCACCACCTTTGGACACGGAGCGTCCGGGCTCGGAATTCCTCCCGGGGCCCCGCCTGCCCCCCTCCCCGCCCGTTCACTGGCAAGCTAAACATGCTTTTCATACCAGAAAAGGGTTGATGCTGGGGGCGGTTTAAACCGGTGGGGTCCATTTGTCTCCTTGGGTGAGTTTTCGAAGTGAATCTCTCCTGCCGGGGGTCTGGCGCTTGACGGTGTTGAGGGAAAGGGGCGCTGCGAAAGAGCGGGGAGTGGGGTTGGCTGCCTGCTTACAGGCAGGAGCTTCCCCTGCCAGTTTTTGGGTGGGGGGTGGGGGTTTCCCCCGTAGTTCCTTGACCGGGGTATTGTTTTCTGCTCGGTGGTTTGTCCAGAACTAGCGAACGAATCCGTGGCAGCCGTGCTGC